AATACGGTGTGGTTGGTGTAAAAGATCATTATGTTTCAAACACTTTTTCGATGATTATCATTTCTGTAAGGAATTCGTTGAATGATACATTTTAATTTACCATTTAATAAAAAAAGAAAAAGATGAAAATTATTATGAAAAATCAAAATATATGTAGTATCGCGTACGATGGCTCTTATGCAAATATATTTATGTATCTACATATGAATATAAATATATATGTATAGATCTATAAAAGATAATTAGACCTCGTGTTATTCTCGTGTTTAGTTTTAAGAGATATTTCTCGCCATTTTGGTACGATTAAAATAAAATGTATTAAACATATTTTTATTTATAATAAATTATGTTTGAGCTACAGATATATTTTATTAAAAAAAAATTGGGATACCCCACGTACGGTGTAGAAATCAATTATTTTAAGAAAAAGCAACTGATAAACACAATTCTCCCAAAGTTAGGCCTATTAGCCTACATTTGGTTGGGTAAGGGTGGTTTATGGGGGTTTGATGGGTTAGAGGCAGGTTGGTTAGTTGAGGTAGCTCGCTCAGGCGTAGGATTAAATTCATTCAGGAAATAACAAACGACTTAACTCGTGTTTATCAGGGTTAGGAGGTTTAGCCTGCTTGTGTTTTATTAAGGTTGGTTTATAAAGGTGGGGGTTAGATAGGTTAGGGCTAGGTGGATAAGAGGTATGTGATTCAGCTGGGATAACTCGCTTATGGTGTAAAATTCAATTATTTCAAGAAATAACAAACGACTAAAGTTGCTTTTCCCAGGATTAGGTGGGTTAGCCTACATGTGGTTCGGTAAGGGTGGTTTATGGGGTTTGGTGGGTTAGAGGCAGGTTGGTTAGTTGAGGTAGCTCGCTCACGTATAGGATTAAATTATTTCAAGAAATAACTAACGACTAAACTTGTTTATCCCAGGGTTAGGTGGATTAACCTGTTGATAGTTTGACGGGGGTGGTTTCTAAGGGGTGAAACACCCCTTACACTTATTTTTTTTTTTTAATCCGGAAACATGTTAATTTATTTTTGGTTTTTTCTCATTATCAGTACGATTTTTAAATCACTCGAGCTGATTTACTATATTATATGTCGTAAAACCGTATAGAAAAATAGTGCATTTACCCCTATTAAAAAGGAGGTTGCAAGCCTTCGGTATAAATGTTATGTCTTTAAAAGCAACTTTTTATAAGAAATTTTTTAACGTTGAGTTTACTGAAGAATATTCATTTGATGCTGAGAAATATTAAAAAATTGATTTTAGGGGTTGATTTTCAGGGTGGATTTCACCCCTTAAAAGCCCTTACGGGCCGATAAAAAAAAACACGTGTCTAATTTTTTTCAAGTACTACAACATATCCCAAAATCATTCAAATCGGTGAGGTCGGGTTGGGGTGGTTCCCTTGTAAGTATGGACGCCGGACTGCAAATATTGCTGTCGTGACGAAGATGACGTAGAGCGCACTTTTTACGAGTACTCACGATGAATCATGGATAGACTGCAACTGGAAACGAAAACTGATACAATCACGCGGAACAATCCTGTGACGAAAATGCTACACTTCAAGGACAGCTGGACAGCAGTCGCTACCTTGATCGAGACTGTTTTAACATGGAAAAAGGCGGTCGGATGCCTGGAATTGAGATTATTGTATGAAAAATACCGTGAGTGAATAATGTACGAAACGAACAGACGTTTGGACAGAACCCGCAGCGGCAAAGTAATACGAAAATGGTCTCGTCCATCCGGTGAGTATGCTTCTAAATACCCTCAGGGGAATAGTTCTGAACTCCTTCAGAGGCATGTTCGATGGATGGCGGGTTAGACGGTCCCCGTGGGCCACCGAAGTTTCTGCCGCGGATGGGCTATACCCGGAACCCGCCATACCGGCGGGGTCCTTGAGATCTGCCTTGCTAGACAAGAAGGCCACCGCTGATGATCTGGTCTAGGTAGATTCCCCATTTTTTCTTACCATCAAAAAAACTAAATAATAATAATAATAATAATAATAATAATAATAATAGCAAGACAACGACGGATAAACAAGGGAGGCTGCTTCTGGACATAGCCGTAAGACTTGACCTGGAGGTGGCCAAATAGGGAACGACACCGACATACAGACGATCGGGATTTGAGTATTCAATACCCGACATGACGATGACTCCAAGCAGAATCTCGTCGCGGATATGGAAATAGCGGGCGATAGAGGAGTACACAGTCAGCGATCACCTGCATAGTCTTTGAGGTGACAGATTAAGTTACTTCTCAACGTAATGGAGAGACCAAAAACAGAACTTTAAATTACTGGAACTTACGTAAACAAGATAGACCGCTTCGAAGAACTGCTGCAGGAGGCGAAAATTAGGGATTAACTAAACAGCCCAGAGGAACATAGGGAAGACGCAGACAAAGAATCGAGTGGATAAAGATAGATTCCTTTTAGTCAATCTAAGTGGCCCGCGACTGTGGAGATTGCTCCGCGCGTGGAGACACGCTGCATCAATAGCCACCTCGATGCATGTCTGCCGCTATCGTTACAACTTGGGTTACTGTGATCAAAACAAGAAAACAAAAAAAAAGGTTAAGGATAACACCGCGACGTATTCGAAAGTTATGACGAACGAAACGCGACGCACGCATAAAAGGACGTTTGGATAGAGGGATAGCACGGACACTAGGGATGACGGACGCAGTGGATAGCGATGCAAGTCCGAGGAATTATAAAGAAGACAAAAGGCTTATTCATAGTTTATATCAGCTGGAAAGATTAAACGAGCATCAACGAGTGACTCGAGAAGGCTTTTCGGGGGCGTAGTAATATAAAAGGTACCCGTTCTCGATCCCAGCAGCCGAGGGCATAATCTGGCTGTATGAGTGGTTAGTAGTATGGGCACCAAATGGCTCCTGTAAGCCGAACGCATCAAAGTGGTATTTGTCAACTTCTGGGTTAAGACCTGTGTAACAGTAACGAGATGCTACAGCCACTACCTCAGCCACGGGCATCTACGGATCAATTGCGACGAGTTAAACCATAGCGAAGCGTGTTTCAAACGAGTCAAGGAAGGTCACAAGACCAGGGCGCTGCTGCCTGTTTTTTTTTTCATGGCAGGGGAAGTAGGTGGGGTGGGGGCGTACATACTAGGTTATACCCTGTATGACTCTTTTAAAAAGGCAAGAGCGAAACCAGCAAAGGCACGCTGAAATTCTCACAATGGGTAGGGTTCTCCAGGGCAACATGAATGGCGGTAATCTGGCCTTATTATCCTAAATAGCGGACGAAAAAGACGTGGAAATTATCCTCATTTGCAAGCCGTACTGAGACTGGGAGACACCGACGTGGTTTGTTAATGCGTTGCGTACTGCGGCAATATGGGTACGGGGTAGCGCTGCACTACGGGCTATGGAGCAAGGGAGTACTTTGTATAGGTCCAAGTTAAAGACTTAACGTACGCAAGTATGTACCTGACCTCAAACTGTAGCGTAGCGGAGTTTGAGGAAAAGGTGGTTGCCCTCGAAGATACGATCCGGAGTCGTAGAGAACATCGTACTCGCTGCAGACTTACGCCAGGGTTGTCGAGTGGGGGATACAAGAGACCATTAGTACATAGCCTTCGTGTTAAGAGATCGCACGCAGGCAACGACGTGAGATCTGCCCCCCCCCCAGGAGGGGTGAAACGTTAATAAAATCGATGTCCACAAATTGATGGCGAAACTTTAGGCGGAATCAAATCCGGCGAAGGCAGCTCCTGGCGGCTCCGAGGGTAAGGAGGAGTCAGAGAGGCTGGTGCGGAAGTTCGCAAGTCTCTTGAAGTGAGCTTGCGATGCATCCGTGCCCAGAAGAAGGACGAGACGTGATAAACAACCCGTTTACTGATGGACAGATGAGATTGTGCGCCTCCGAAGCGTCTGCCTAGGGCTCCGATAGGAGGCCGAGTGTACTCGTGACCAAACGGAGGCGCTGGCTTTGGTGGAGGAGTATCGGATCGCGCGCCAATAACTGAGTCCAGCGATCAATGACAGCAAATGAAAGAGCTAGGACAAATTTCATCTTTCGATTTTTCAACTAATAACAAACTGTTATAATTTTTAGTTCGCGAACAGACGACTTATCTCATTAATTTCCTCATTTCACGCCATATTAGTGATGTAAGTTTTACAATTAAGTCTTACGATTAGCTAAACTTATTTCCTACAAATATCTAGGATGAAGAAATGCTGTAAATTGAATTCATGCCTGAGATAGAGCTATCTTTAATAGAAGAAGTTAGGTTCAACATTCTATGCCGTCAGATTTTTTGGCCTTTCATAACAATACTCCATGTTTGTCCTAGTTTTATTGTAAAACACTTAAAACCAATAGTGTAATTAATCATTTTACACTTTTTGTCATAAAATATTTAAAAACTAATAACGTTAAGGAAGCCTACTTCGATAAGCAGTTGTACTATTTTTAAGTATGCCACTGACATTTTCAATAAAATGTTTCTTCTGAAATATTAGCTTGTTATTTAATAAAAATTTTCTGTTACAGCACCTGAACAGTTCAACGTTTTCAACTAATAATTTGTATATCCGAAGGACTTGATTTCAACTTTCATGTGATAATATTATGAAAACTCGATGTCCTATAATATGATATGATAATGGTTTGATAATGATATGATATGATTATGATAATAAGTTATTTATAAGAGATTCCTGTCATTTGAATCTTTTAATAAAAATAGTAACTCATCTTTGAAATTCTGAAAAAACTGAGCACAGTCTAGTGAGTGGTTTCAGCTTCAACTGAAAATGAAACATAGATTATTGAAAACTTATATTCAGGGTGCATGAGAGAAAAACATAATATTTCCCTTTTGATTTATAAGTTTTTCGATTTAATATGAGATTTTAGATTACTACATATTTACGATTAATCCTACAAACTAAAAATGAATTCACTTCAGAAGCTTAGCAGATTTTTCTAATTTACGTATTGTATTTTGTATCTGCTGTATTGGTTTTTAAATAAATGTTGAATTAATGAATGTTAAATTTTGTTGTTAATATTTTAAAATAATATAAAATTTTATGAAACTATGAATTAGTGTTTTATCTTTTAACTAGATTTTATTTTTTGAACTAGTATTTTATCCTTATGTCACTTTCATTTTTTTAATCATAATTATGAAAAGATAGACGATAAATGAGATAAATATTTATCATATAATATAAAGATTAAATATTTTGAAATAATAAAAACCACTTTCAGTATCATAGAAAAATAGCAATGAAAAAGTATTCAATAAAATTTAGCTAATTCTATAACTCGCTAAAAAATACATGTACATGATTTTATGCCATCACGAAGTAACGTGCTTTAATTGTTCTTCTTGTTTTTTAACTGCAACCGCCGCTTCAACTAAAATATGTAGACATTCAAATTTCTTTATATCATTGTCTAGGGAAGTAGAAGATTTTCCATGATCAATGGTTTTAATTTCTTTTTGCTCTTGAATATTGTAAATACCACGTGGTAGGTCACTGTTATATGGTTCATTCTTTTCTAGTTCTCTAGCAAAAGACTTTTGTATAAGCACAAGTGACGATTTCCTGAAACAAATTAATTTAACATAAAAACATTATGTAATTTACACTAGATGTAGCTATTTATTTTTAATTTATCCATTAACCCATTAAAATCTAAGCCAAGATATCCTCAAATTAACTATAGCAACCATGCAACCATGGCGTATCTGAAAAAAATTACCTATGGTTTTACTTTTGATATTTGCAATTGTTCATAAAAAATATGTAAACAAATTACCAAAAATTTATTTATTTAAAATAATGAATAGAGGAAATCGATTCCATGGGAAAAAATTTGTAAAGAAATTACCAAAAATTTATTTATTCAAAATAATGATTAGAGAAAATCGATTCCATGGGAAAAAATACGAAAAAAACCTTTGTAACACTTTCTTGTCATAGTTTAATTAGTTAGTGTTATATCGTTATAAACCATTTCATTTTATACAAATGATTCGAAACCCTTCGTATCTCAAACAAAATTTAACCAAGATAGTCATAAACTAACTATTGCATCTATGGAATAGCTAATAAATATTACCCATGTTTTTTCTATTGTTATTTGCTATTGTTTATAAAAATTTATTTTTTTACTTTTTACTATAAGCTTATTTATTTACTTTTTGTTTATAAAAAGTTATTGAAATAACTGTTCACAAAAAATTACAAATATGAAATTTTGAAAATTCTTCAAAATTTTCGGAAAATGAAATCATTTTTTCAACAGAAATATCTCCGGTTCTGTTCGTCTTAGGATAAAAATTCTGAAAGCAAATTAAAAGTGAGTAAGAATACTTTCTGTGATATGCAGTTTTTTACATGTATCACTTAGGGCTTATAATTATTTCGTGTTATATTGAAAAATGTAAAAAATAGAAGGTTAACAGCTCCAGAAATTAGAGCAGAATTAAACGAAAACAGAAATATATAAGTATTTTTTGTAACGGGGGCAGTTATCTAAAAAAATGAGAAATTTATTTGAGAACAAACTCCTACGATGCTGAACTAACCGCCGCTCAGTTAAACACGTATGATAGTACGTGTATTCGCCTTTACGTCAGATGATTATGCTTAATTGTCTTCTATCGAACAGAGTTGAACTCACCTTAAGTCACGTGCCTTGTGACACTCGATGAATCTTAGGCGACTTTACGCCCAATCCGCTTAATCCCCTAGATGTAATCGGATTAAAACCTAAGCCTTTTACAATTACTTAAGCTAATGGGAAAATTAAATGACGTAATTGACGAATAAATTTGACTGACTTTAATTAATAAAAAATAACTACAGTCTTTGTTGGGCCAAAAGACTAACGCACGCGAATAGGATTTTACAATGAATAATGTTCGGTGAGAGAGAGAGAGAGAGAGAGAAGATTTGAATTTTAACCGCGAACTAATGCTCGGCGCGAATACAGAAAAAATATCGCTATTACGATTGCTATTACGATCGCTATTACGCTACACGCGATAATGAAGGGAGGTGCACCTACCCTGCGGTGCAATTACGGTGATCAGCCGTAATTGTTGATGATTCTGAATCAACTCCCGCTGCCCTCCAAATTATCAGCTGCGCTGCCTAGATCTGCCTTTATCCGCTGCAATCTGCTGCTACCGTACCGCTGCTTGCTGCTGCAATACCGTCGTTGCACACACGCACGTAATTGTCCCAGTAAAACTTATAATCACTCGGCGAAACAAGGTGCAAAACAAAATCGACGGTATTAACACGTAAACAGCTGAGGCGTAATTGCTTATTCAAATGATCGCGCGCCCCCTCTCTCTCTCTTAATTGTTTTAACTAACGCGCGAGAAGCAGAATCGCGAACGGATCGATTAATTGAATAGACTACCGTTGCATTTAATAAAAATTATTGTTTGGCGGCTATATACAGCTGGTCAACTCCGTCGAGTCACTGCTAAAATCCACTTCTTCATAACATTGACCATAAAAAACTAAAACGTTTATATTATTGAGTTTGAACTCTAAGATACATTTGTAAATTATATTTTCAAGAGTAAGTAAGAAGTTGCCATATAATAATGTATACTTGAAATATCAAATAATAATTGTCTGTGACTTACTAGTAGTGATTGAAATAGTCTTATATTTACATCAACAATCAATTCTGAAACCTTTGAAAATTAATCAATCGAAGTCGAGCTGCGAGGATAACAACCCTCGGTGACTTGCGATAAAAAGTAAGTGGATTTTAAAGACAGTATGGAAATTTAATTATCACGCAATGAACAGAGTCTGATTCAAATCAGTTCAATATTTCGGTGTGTCCTTTAAATTTCTTTAATTTGAGTATTTTCGCATCTATCTAGGAAAGGCCACACAGCGCCACAACAAAAACTTAGCTGAGGTTCTAGGCTCTAATATTATAATAATTAAAAGAGATAGTCTAAGGCTACTTTTTCTCATAAGAGAAATGATCTTGTGAGTTGAGCTATCATGTAGCAAGGCTGACCTTTGAATAATGAATCTCAGGAAATAGCTAAGACCTAATTTCATGAGTACAGTGCTCGCGCTGCTAAGATCGGTAGGATTCCCTTTTTGCCGCAGCGACGAGCGAATTTATAATTGGCTAGCCTCTATAACGCTATTTTCGCCAACTTGCACAAACTTTAAACAAGTTTTATCGCGCATGCGAAGTGAAAAGTTTGTGATTTAGAAAATTGAGTTGAAAATGCTGAATTGTATGATATAAATTATTTCTTATGGAAAAATCGCCTCACAAAGTTATATACGACTAAAGTTAATTAAATGAATAACTTAAAATCTACATTAAAATTAGTAGAATTTTTTACACCAAAATATAATTTATGATACACGGAACATTATCCAAAATCAAAATTAACAATCGGAATTCAAATAATAATTAAATAATGAATTCGCAAATTGTTTCTTTTGCTATTATAAAATCAACAATCATATAACAATCGTTTTCAATAATTTTATAAGTATGTACAATTAGATCGCTACCTGACAACTTCATTTTAAATATTTAAATAAATTATAAATTTTTTATTTATTGATAACTCTGTTAAGAAATCAGTTATCAAAGTGTCGAATTCTTGCTTCTCTTTCTTAAGATGCTAATTTTGTTGTATCGTATTCCAATTCGTATCGTATTTGTTTTGTGACGGTAAATTCGGCACGCGAGCAGACAGAACGCGCGCGATTGAAAATGAACAAGTGAGGGACTAACCATCATTACGTTCGCCCGTGGTTACGACGCCAGCTACCGATACGCGAGCCGCCAAGACCGATATCGACAATAAAAGTGTCCGAACCAGAGACCGATACCAGTGACCGCTGCTATCGAGTTGTCCGGAGTGCTGACCTGAGCCAGCAGAAGCGGTGCCATTACCTGTGAAGCCGAACGTCGGCGTGCGACGTGTTTCGCCATCGAGGGCGAAACCACGTGTGCCCGTGTTCGCTGCCCGCGAGCAGGAAAAATCAGACTTTTCCTGCAGTGAGCGTGCGAACCATACTTTTCGCCTCCGTACGTCTGCTAAATAAAGGTAAGCTGGCCAGCTTAATTTCGCGGTCGCGATTCGAATATTACTCAACTAATCACTCGAAGCGAAACGTGCATGTAATAGCTCTACGGACAAAGAGCAACGAGCGTCCCGACACTGCATGTTGTTGTCGAGCGAGCGCCGATGTAAACATAAACACGCGGGCCGATTCTAATGTAGCATTTAAAAGATAATAAAGAGTTTTCGTACATGATATTAACAAGTAATTTCGAAGCGTTCTCTTTGTATTCGTAGTTAGTGGTTGACTGACACCTGTTTCCCCCTTGCTCTCCGACTTCCCTGTTTGATATAGGTGATTACGAACGTATTTACGCGATCGCCTCAATAAAATTAATCAAATGGTAAGCAACCCCGTTACAGTTTATTGTAAATTTGTTCGTGATATTTTCTTGTAAATTAAATTATGCTAAGTATTATCTAATAAATCATTATAATAAGTTTAAATTCGAAATTAGAACATTGAAGTTGATTGAAAAAATGCTTTTGTTCATTTTAAAAGCTTGCAATTGTCGATTTTGTATAATAAAAAATAAGTTTCTCATGCCTGTGACATTATGCCCATTATATGGTCTTGATTTTGATCAAGTCACCTAATACATCTAAGCGAATATGTAAAATCGCATCTTAGATTATATAGCGCTTTTTTTCAATTTCGAATATGTAGCGGGTTACCATTGCGCAGTGAAAAGCGAAAGAAAAGAACAGATCAGACTAGATCGTTACAGAACACTAATGTGGGCATATAAATATTAAAGTTAGACTTTTGAAGTTAGGAAAATTATTTTGTAGGCTGATGAATCAAAATTCGATCTTCAATAGTAAACAAAATGTGTACATTCGACGTATAGGTCAAATTCTCATGACCTTACCTTTGACCTTGGAGGTCATGTACTACTGAGGACAGTAGATAATTTTCATCGGAGAATCGAATTATGCATTCAAGGAGATGGAAATGTTTTTGAACAGTTACTGTAACAATTGACTAATTTAGTAAATAAATATAATAAATGTTATTTTGGTAAATAAATAATCACAATTATTTATTTACCAATTTGATTTTTGCCTATATTTGAGGTTATGTGGCACCACAACATTATCTATACGAGGTCTGTCCGGAAAGTATCGGGCCTACCTTTATATTTTCGTGCTAGCGTTATTCTTTATCATCTGGTGGGTGGCATCCTTCAAAGTAATCCCCACTTGATTGAATAACACGGTTCCATCGATGTTTCCACTTTTCAAAACAGTCCTGGAACTCACTTTTAGGGATAGCCTTAAGTACACTCGTCGCATTGTTTTCAGCCGTTGTTTTGTCATCGAATTGGTGTTCTTTGAGTGGTTTTCTTAGTTTTGGAAACAGCCAAAAGCCACAAGGGGTTGGGCTATGTCGGGACTGTATGGAGGTTGTCGAAGCAATGCGATATTGTGTTTGATTAAAAGCTGCTGCACAAGATTGGATGAATGCACTGGCGCATT